TCTCTGGGGGACAATACAATGAAGAATTCTTTTAGCCACAAGCTCAGCATTGCCTTTGGAGAGTAAGAGGTAGAGTTGGAGGGCTAAGGGAGTTCAGTCCAGAGGAACAGGCCCCCTAGAATTAGATAGATGAATCTTGCAAAGAAGCTTAAGGAGACAGCAAAGTTGAAAGCAATGACAAAAGGTAGGGGCTTGCCCCTTTCCTCATTTTACCCAAACCATTGCCGGATGCAGTGTCCAGAAACTTTATCCTTGATTGTGCCTGACGAGGTGGAGGAGTGGAATTGATTTCCAATGTATTTTATGTTGTATAGACATAGCAGGAACTGATTGGAACGAAAGGAGTCAAGTGTAGATATAAAGATGTAGGTGTAGAGATAAAGGTGTTGGTGTAGGTATCACAAGCTCTCCTACTCAGCTTCATTACCTGTCAGTTGAAACTCCAACACTTTCCTGAAAGACAATTGGATGCCCTTTCTACTTTATCAAATAAAAACGAGCAGGTAAGGCCACTGCTTGAAGGAACACTTTAGACACTGAAAAGAGTATGGAATTTTAGAGGCAGAAATTACCTTGGTACTAAAATTCTCACGTCCCTCCCTTTGGGTAAGGAACCAGAGAGTCCAAGTGAGTTTATCAATATCAGCTGGCTGGTTAGGGAAAATAGTAACTTTGACGTAATTATTTAGCCAAAAATCATTATTCATTTTTCCAGGGATGGCGCTGGGCACCTGGGGGTACTAAGGAGAAATAAACTTCACTCTGAGATCCTGAGGTCAGGGGCTACGGTTTCCCAGAGGGAGGTCAAGACTGAAGAGTCACACCAAGAACCGCTCATTTAGCGACTGTGTACATCGTGCATAACCCCACCTCCCCATAACTAATAAATACAGAACATGTAGAATCCCACATCAAATTATATCCCCCATGAAAAATACTCAGGTGATGGTAGATAAGTCTGGGGGGGGTGAGTTCACTCAGGTACAAAGTGCAGAGAGAAAGCAGGACACACAAAACCCAGTCTCCTCCAGAGTCGTCCAAGGTTATCTCCACGAGTCCTAACCCTGTCAACACCTTCAAACAGCAACTTGAATGGGACCATCATAGCATTATGTTGCAAAATTTGTGATGTGAGAGAGTTTCGTGGGAATGGAAAATGTTTGTTCATGTATTTATCTATTATCAAATTTATTACCCAATGCCCTGCAATTTTATATTTGTACTAGTTACTATAAAACAGACCTTGGTACATAACTCAAACATCCCAGACTTCAGGGCCCAGGAGGACATATTTCCCTATAACACACAATCACAACACTTAGAACCCCCCCACCATGCAACTTGCAATCTTTTCCAGGTTGCCTCAGCCCCTGTTGGCCCTGCTATGACTGAATACCATAGACAGAGTGGCTTTGAAACAACAGAAATGTATTTCCCACAGATGTGGAGGCTGGAAGTTTAAAATCAAGGTGCCGGCAGATTTGGACTCGCTTCCTAGTCCTTGGACAGCCAACCCTTGCTGTGTGCTCACATGGCACAAGGGGGGTGAGGGCTCTCCTAATTTTTTCAGGGCCCTAATCCCATCCATGAGGATTCTACTGTCATGACCTAGTCACTTCCCAAAGGCCCCTGTCCGGATAACATGACACTGGGGATTAGGCTTCAACACATACGCTTCGGGGATACATAAACATTCAGTGTACAGCACAGGATTTCCTCTTCTGATCGTTTCTGAACATCTCAGGATCTGGTGGACTCCCTACATCTCCCTCCAGCAGCCCCCTGATTGTGGACTCTGTAAGTGCTGCCTCTCACCTCGAGAGAACCACCTGCATGTGCAGCAGAAGCCCCCCCTTCACTTCTTACATAGTTGTGAAAGCAAACCACTTAAGCAATAGTAAGAGTAATAATATTCCAGAAGTAACCCAAGGACACTGCACTGTCCCCACCCCCTTCTAGTTCCCTTACAAAGAAAGTTTATGTCACCTCCTCTATCCCAGGCCTCTTGCTCAAAGTTTTACCCTACACCCCAAAATTATGGCTGCTCCATGTACCTCCACACTTTCATGCCCAGATCAAAGGGAGCCCAGGCCTCAGAGAAAGAAGGTATTTTAGTCCTTCTGAGACTCAAGAAAATGATAGAAAACAGTAAATAAATAAGGTAAAGTCAATAGGAAGGAACGAGGGCCCATGGGAGGAAGTTTTAGAAAACTGGGTTTCGGAACAAAACACACACAAAAACCCCTGTGTTGTTGTTCAAATGCGAATTACTTAACCATAAACGGAGCCCAACTGTGAATCAGCTCTCCCAGCAGGTGCATGCAGGATCCCTGATTCAACTGAGAGGCTAGACCAGCAGCCTTGAGAATGGCCTCTTCCCACCGAGGGGGTCTGCACTGCAATCACCACACCCAGAGGCGGCTGCCATCTGGGGCCCTCGGGTCCTGAATTCTAAGATGTCAGATGAGGAATGCAAAGGAGTTAAAGTCATAAAGGGGAAATAATCAGTCTGACTCAAGGTAGGATAAAGGTTGAGCTATCCTGAGACAACATTTCTGGACAGTGTTTGAGACACACAACAACATCTGAATGTTGAACCTCCAACCTCCCTCCCTAAGAACTAGTCTTGACGTTGGAGCCATCTAGATAAAGTTAGAAATGCATGGTGGACCTTCTCTACCTGAAATGTCACTTTAACTGTGCCATATCATCACTGTGGCAGAAAGACAAGGATGATTCATCTGTAGATATTTCAAACTTCAGTTACTGACTAGTTCTCCCTCACTTAAAGAAAAGCAACTCGTGAGCTTTATCAAACTCAATTCACAGACTGTCCTCATCTTCCTGTGAAGATCACAAGCTCTTCTTCATGCCTATGCATCTGAGGCCAGCTTGTCCTAAGCAGCAAGATTTGCAGCTAGGTGGCCACATCCTGGCACCTACTAAGAAGTCGTTCTGATGGTACTTCTGGTCTCCTCAGACACTGGTTTAAAGCCCATGCAGAGACACCACTTCTTTGCTGTCTCCGTCCCCTGTCTCAGCGAGGGTGTTTGAGCAGCCTCATTCAGGTACTCAGCTTTTCAAAGATCAGATCCCAGCAAGTAACTCTCCAGGCTGGAACTTTACAGAGCAGAAGAACATTTGTAGAGTTTGAGATGAAAATGTAATGAAATACAAGGCAACAGAAAGAGGACGCATCGCTATCCTTTTTGAATTTTTTTTAAAACTGTTTTTGATTAATCTTCACCGGAAGATGATTCACTGACTTTAGAGAAAGAGGAAGGGAGAACGGGACATTGATGTGTTCCTGAGCTTGAATTTGACCCCAAATCCAGTTGCTGGATTTCAATTCTATTTATATCAGGGATTTCTCCCACACCATGGATGGAGCATTTCTTCTGCAGTTCAACCATCCCGCCTGTAGAGTGAAGATGAGATACATGCGTGTTTTGCCACTTTTCATTGTAACCAGCAGACACTTGGATACATTCTGTTTAGTGAATGAACCTGATCCCAGAGGCCACGTTTGCATTGGAAGAACCGAATCTTCAAACACAGATATTTTCATTGCCATGAAAATGATAGATAGGGCTGGGAGAATGAATCATTTTGTTTTAAGAGCACAAGTGACAGCAGGAGCAAAATCTTGCCCTGGTGGTGGTCACAAGCAGGGACAGAGAAGTGGTGAAGTAGGCAGGGGCTTCGGAGACAGATTAGTCATGTTCTCTATGGAGCAGGAGATCTTCATGGCACTGGCATTGTGATCAGCTCTATGACAATGATGGTTGACCTCTCCCAGGGGCTGGAGCCCAGAAATGTCAAAGGGGTTCTGGTGACAACATTGGTTCTAGAGAATCAGGTACCTCACTGTTCTCCCAGGTCACCAATGCGTGGGCTCTACCTGGGAGCCCTTGGGAACATTGCCATGGTCACCCCCAATGTGTCTGCTGCTTCCTGTGCAGGAGAAGCTCACCTCAGATCTGGGCTCATCAGCAGCTTCATGGGGCAGGACACACAGGCACACACTGGGGACTGCCTGCTCCTGATGTCCTGCGGCCCAGCTCACACCCTGGATGGCTGGAGAGCCCAGGGAAGTGTGAGAGGACAGGGGACAGTCGGTGCCTGTGGACTCAGGAGAACCCACTGACAGTCAGGAGGTCACCAGTAATGGAGGGTGCCCAAGGGCACAGAGTCCCAGTCAGGCTGAAGGACCTGAGGCTGTGAGGATGTTGAAAAGGTAACATAAGGTTCTTACTTATGACATTAATTTGTGGGTGACAGTGACTGTCTTGGTCATCACTTGTAGTTGCAGACACAGTGTTGTGAGATAATAGAGAATGTATATTGCTCTCAGTCCCTGGTTCCTCACACAGACTCCTGGAACCCTCCTCATTTTCTAGGTGACAGGTGTTCCTTTTATTCTAAAGAGGTGACTCTGGGAGGGCTCCTTGATGTGGACTGGACATTCACAGGCAGAGGAATAATTCCAAAATTGTAATTTTCAGACCTGCCACCCATTTCCCTAAGGAGGGAGAAGGGCTCAGGTGGAGTCAGAAAACTAATTGAAACCACGGGAGGGATCCTGGGAGCCTTTGAGTTAAAGACAAGAAGTTGTATGAGACCTGGGGACGCCCTGTGTGTGACGGTCACCTGAAGTGCAGGCAGTCCCGTGGGACAGGGCCCTCCACTGCGGACCTGACACCGTCTCCAGGCAGTCGAGTGAGAGCTGAGTTGTGTGGTGGGACCTCCAGCTGGTGTCACAAGGAACTGCTGGTTGTAAACAAAATCCCCCACATTTGGTGACCAGATGTGACAGAATTGAAGGGTCCCAGAGTACAAACAAGACACAGCAGGATGAAAGAATCCAGATTTTACATAAAAATGTTATTCTTGTCAAAATTTACTCTAGACACTGTGGAGACGGTTAGTCGGAATTTGTCACACCTTCAGGGAGAGTGACCCGGGGACACCCTGTGCTCTCACTCATGACTGTGCTGCTCCTTCCCTTCCATGGACATGCTGATGCAGAGGAGCCCACCTTACAGGGGCCTCCACAGAAGCTTCAGTGAGGCTCAGAGCCACGACCTCTGGGCCCAGGGGTTTCTGTCTCACTTCCTCTTCATCTGAACCACTGTGAGTCACTGTAGCTGCCTCCACTGCTATAATATGTAGCACAGTAATAGTCGGCCTCGTCCTCAGGCTGCAGCCCTGAGATGGTCAGGAGCCCTGCATTGGCTGAGGCGTCTTTGGATCCAGAGAAGCGGCTGGGGACACCAGAGCCCTGGTGCTTCTCTGAGTCTGATTTATACCGCAGCAGATACCGGGGAGGGCTGCCTGGCTTCTGCTGGAACCAGTCTATGTAGTAGCCACCAACACTGAAGCCACTGCTGAGGGTGCAGGTGAGTCTGGCTGTGGCTCCAAGAGATGCAGAGAGGGAGGGCGGCTGAGTCAGCACAGGCTGGGACAATGAACCTGCAAACACAGACACTTGTCAGTGATGGGGCAGAACCAGGGGAAGCTTCTCAGGAGATGGTACAGGAAGGGAATAAACTTTGTAGCTGAGCCCTGTGTCCCTGAAGCCTGTCCCTACCTGTGCAGTGAGAGAGGAGCACAAGGAGCAGAGGGGTCCAGGCCATGGTGCTCACAGCCCCTCAGCCCACAGTGGGGCTGGGCTGCTCAGGCCTCCTTTTCTTCCCCACCCTCTGCCAGGGGAGGGGCTGTCCATGCAAATGTGTGTCCATCCAGGGGCTGCCCAGCCCCTCCCTGAGCCCTGGTGCTGGAGCTCAGCTCACACCCCAGACAGAGGGGGGTGAAGTTTTGTGTCAGCCCTTGGAAGAGCCCTGGGAGGAAGCACCTGCTGAGACCACACAAAGGTTCCTGCTCTGCCAACTCTGCCAGGCCTGAGAGGACACAGTGGCTGAGTCCTCATCAGTGGGCTCAAGGCCCAGCCCACAGGCCCAACCTCCTAGGAGTGAATGGTCTCTAATGAACAGCTTTGTAGGCACACTAACGTAGTCCCACAGTGCCCCCTGAAGGTGGCTGATCACAGGCCTTTTCCTAAAGGACAACCCTGAGAGCCCAGCTGGTTTCTGCAGCTCCAGCAGGTCACTGACTCTATTCACACATCCAGAGTCTGGTTCCCAGATACTAGGACTCTGACCCACTGTACTGGTTACTGATGCATCTCACTCCCAGGAGTCCACAACTGTGGGAGGGGCAAACATGACTTAGATAACAAATTTGCTTTCACCTCCAGTGAAGATGTTGAAAATCTAAATATACAGTGAGCGCTTTGGCCAAGGTCATAGACGAAGGCAGCACTGATCTGGTTGAAAGGGCTGGTAAAAGTTATTCAGTATAATTACAGGAATATACTTAGAAACATGTGCAGAGATGGATTATATATGTAACATTCCTAGTCATGTGGTGCATGTAAATTTTTTATAGATCTGATTATTAAATGATCAGAAAAAAATAATGGCTTTGGAAGTCTTCACGTTTACCAATGGAGAGTGCAGCATGCTCACTCAGTGTAGAAACTGACTTCTTATCTTAGTTTGTTGGAACCAAGATACAAAGTAACCCATTCTTGCTGCTGCTGGGGGTGCAGGACATGCTGGCCTTCTGTCCCGGAGACCCCGACATGGAGCGGGGCTGACTCAGCACCGACTGGGCCCAAGACCCTGCAAGGTGGAGCCACACAGAGATCAGAGAGGAAAGGACAGATCCTGTTCCCAGGAAGGGAGGAGTGTCACCAACCCAGGGGACAAAGAGATGCCCTCCCAGAACTCCCTTTCAGCCCCACCCCTGCAGTGAGCCAGGAGAGCCAGGAGAAAAGGAGCACAACCCTTGCCTTAGATGTCCAGAAACTGCCTACTGAGCTCCATAGCCAGGTCTCAGCCTTCAACAATTTTATCTGCCACCCTGACATTGAAGGTGGGTGTCTATGTACATTTGCGAGTTTCTAGAGACTGTGCAAGCCCTTCCTTCCACCCAAGCCAGGGTTCCAGCTGTGGGGGGGAAAAAAAAGCGATTAGGGGAGGGAGAGGGCTTCAGCCCAAAGGTCTCAGGAAACAGGCAAGAGGCAATCTCACAGCTCAGGAATGTGGAGCACGCGCGCCCTCTTGTGGAGGCAGAAGGCATAGCGATGTGGGATGGGCGCTGGAGCTCAGGGCTCCTGCCCTGCTCTAAGCCTTGATCCTGCTCACCATGCCCCCCCCCACCAACACACGGTCCACACTCCAACCCCTGCTGCCTACCCAGTCCTAGCCTTTTTAGATTCGCTCCATTCACTTAGATTTATGCTTATGAGGTTCTTTCATGTCCTTCTGTGACCTGAACAGTCGCTTATTGATGGTACAAATCATATTTTTCCATTGTAGAAAGGGACAGTTTGTTGATTCATTCACCTACTGAAGGACATAGCAGTTGCTCTGTAAGTTTTAAAAGACTTGAATAAATGGCTGTAACTTCATGCGCATTTGGTTGTTTGAACATAGGTGACTGATTTAGATAAAGACCTAGGAGAGTGATTTCTGGGTTGTGTCACACAAGAGTTGTTTAACTTTGTGAGAAACAGCCAAAGTGCCTTCAAAGGTGCCCACGGCTGGTGCGTCCCCGCTGCACCAATGAGAGTCCCTGTCGCCCCACAGCCTGGGAGCCTCTGCTGTGGTCAATGTGCAAGTGTTGGCCGTGCTCATGGGAACCTGGTGGTCGCTCGTTGTTACACATGTGATTTCCCAGTAACACCTTATATTCACCATCTTTTCATGTTGATCCCCCAGTTGTACATGTTCCTAAGTGATAAGACTGTTCACAACTGCTCAGTGAGGGGGACGGTGATGTTCCCCACTACATAAGAATTGGAAGGCTGCACAAAGGTCTTCAATCAGATGAAAAGCAAATTCTTGTGGTTTCAAAGATCAGAAAAGTATGAGTGGAGCCCAGGCTGGTACCAAGGATCATGCAGGTTGCTGTGCGCATGTTAGCTGGGTGTGAATAAAAGAAGGAGGGAAGCAAAGGGAATCAGAGATGCTTAAGCATCTTCAACCAGGGAGCGTCAGCTTCCTGGCTTAGCCAGGAAGGTCTCTCTCTCTCTCTCTCTCTCTCTCTGTCTCTCCCAGGAGCACCTGCTTGCCCCATTTGTTCTTTGTTCTCTGGTTCTCTCCAGAGCGAGACTGTGGGTCTAGCAGCCAAGCAGGGCCCACCCCAGATGGCATGGCTCCTAAAGACTAAGATGCAATAAGAACCAGAAACTCTGGATACTGGTCTTTGTTCCAGCCTTGCAGAAGGCACTGTTGAACATTTTCCATGGCAGGACAGACAGACATGTGACGCAGGGGCAGCCTTGTATGTGCACTCAGATAAATCTCCCCACCCCACAGTCTCCCGCTCATGTGTCTGAGACATGCTTTTCTCTGACCCCGTGGAGCAACACCGGAGCACAAACACCCACCTGATCTTCTGGGGTCTCACAGGCTGCACTCAGGCCTTTCCCGACCCCACTCAGCACTGCGGGCTCTTTCGCTCGGGAAGCAAAGCAGTTCTGTGTGCACTGGGGGAACCATACCTTCAAAAGGAGATATTTTCATTGACATCACAAAGAAAGAATTGACAGAATTTTTTTTGTTTTAAAAGCACAAGGAACAGCAGAAGCCAACTCCAGAGCTGGTTTTGGTGACATGGAAGGACAAGAAACTGCTGAGCCAGGCAGGGGGGGAGGGCAGATTCATCCGTTGTCCCCATAAAACAGGAGATCCGTGTGGCATTGGCTTCTGTTCAGCTCTGTAACAATGCTCGTCAGCCTCTCCCAGGGGTGTGACCCCAGAGGTGGTCAAAGAGGTTCTGCTGACACTGAATTCAGAAAAGGAGACTAGAAACCTTGGATGGTCCCTCACAAATCTCCTAAGTCACAAAGGTGGGCTCTCCCTGGGAGACTATGGGGTGGTGGTCATGGTCACCCCCAAATGTGTCTGCTGCTTCTTGTGGAAGAGAAAGTGACCTGAGGTCAGGGCTCATCAGCAGCTTCATGGGGGAGGAAACACAGGCACACACTGGGGACTTCCTGCTCCTGATGCCCCGCAGCCAAGCCCACAGCCTGGGTGGCTGGAGAGCCCAGGGAAGTGTGAGAGGACAGGGGGACATTTGGTGCCCGTGGGATCAGGAGAATCCACTGACAGTCAGGAGGTCATCAATCCTGGAGGGTGCCCAAGGGCACAATGTCCAGGGTCACGCCGAAGAGCCTGGGGTCGTGGGGATGTTGAAGAGGTAAGGCAAGGTTCTCACTTATGAATTAATTTGTGGGTTCACGTGACTGTCTGGGTCATCACTTGTGGTTGCTGACAAAGTATTGTGAGGTAATACAGAATATATATATTAGTCGTGCCCTCCTGACCTTGACATTTCCTGGGTCACCGATGTGACTTTTGTTCTAAAGAGGTGACTCTGGGTGGGCTCCTGGGTGAGGACTGATCATGAAAGAGACAAAGGCACGATTTGAAGCCTGGAATTTTCACAACTGCACAAAATTTCCCAGATGGGGAAGAAGTGTTCAGGTGAAGTCAGTAAATGAATCCAGCAAATTCAATGAAGCAAAAGAAGAGACCATTGCAGCCCTGGCCTGTGGGGCTCAGTGCACTGAGCACTGGAGTACACATCCCAGGGTCGCCACTTTGACTCCCAGTCAGGGCACGTGGCTGGGTTGTGGTCCCCAGTGGGGGACACTCAGGAGGCAACCACACATTGATACTTCCCTCCCTCTCTCACTATCCCTCTGTCTGAAAATCAACAAATAAAAAATCCTGAAAAAGAAAAAGAAAGAAGACACTCTTGCAGCCTTACAGTTGCAGCCAAGAGGTTGTGTGAGACCTGGGGATGACCTGCGTGTGACTGTCACCTGAAGTGCCAGCAGTGCTGTGGGACAGGGCCCTCCACTGTACACTTGACACCCTCCCAAGGCAGTCATGTGAGAGCTGAGTTGTGAGGTGGGACATCCGGCTGGTGCCACAGAGATTTCCTTGTTGTGAAGAAAACATCCCCCACATGTGGTAACCAGAAATGTCAGAAGTGAGGTGTTTTCTTGAGTAGAAACCAAGACACAACAGATTGAAGGAAATGGGATTTTTACCTAAGAATCTTTATTTTGTTAAAATTTACTCCAACACTGTAGGGATGATCAGTCGGACTTTGTCACCCCGTCAGTGTGAGTGACCCAGGGACGCCCTGTGCCCTCACTCATGACTGTGCTGCTCGTTCCCCTTCCATGGACATGCTGATGCAGAGGAGCCCACCTTACAGGGGCCTCCACAGAAGCTTCAGTGAGACTCAGAGCCATGACCTCTGGGCCCAGGGGTTTCTGTCTCACTTCCTCGTCATCTGAGCCACTGTGAGTCACTGTAGCTGCTCCCACTGCCATGAGCTGTAGCACAGTAATAGTCGGCCTCGTCCTCAGGCTGCAGCCCTGAGATGGTCAGGAGCCCTGCATTGGCCGAGGTGTCTTTGGATCCAGAGAAGCGGCTGGGGACACCAGAGCCCTGGTGCTTGTCTGAGTCTGATTTATACTCCAGCAGATACCGGGGAGGGCTGCCTGGCTTCTGCTGGAACCAGCGAATGTAGTAGCTGCCAACACTGATGTCACTGCTGAAGGTGCAGGTGAGTCTGGCTGTGGCT